CCTCCACCACCACCGCCGTGATTGATCTCTCTCTCTCTCCCCTCCCCCATCTCTGAGCAGTCAATTCCTCATCCTGCCGCCATTCCAGAAACGAGGCCACGGAGGTACTTTGCGCAATTCCCTTCTCTCCCCCCACCACCGCGGTGGCGACTGACCTATGTGGTTGGGCAGAGCAACTCTTGCGGGCGATCTACAGAGAAGCATGGGGGCGAACGGGTCTGTACGAAAGCGTCCGAGACATCACCGTGGAAGACCCCTCTCCCGAGTTCAAGCTCCTACGGGTAGGCAGGCCATGATCTTCTTCCTCCTCCTCCTCGCTCCTCTTTGTTCTTTTTCGCTTTGCCACCTCGTCGTTGCACCGCCAGGCCCGCGCCGCTCGCCAAAGCTGATATGCGATGTTCATTTGGCATGATGATGATGGTGATGGTGGTGATGGGCCTGCAGGACATCACTGATCTTCGTCTGTGTCTCGAGAGTGGCTTCCTCAAGGGCGTGCCGGGCGACAAGATCGACCCCGAGCAGCTGCGAGCGGTGCAGAGCCGATTCAAGCTGGCCAAGGTGCCCACCCGCTTGCCCCCCCTCAAACCCCGCACCACCTCCGGTCAATAGGGCTAACCTATCATCAACACACGACACGATACGACACGACACGACCAACGACACGACGTGACACGACGCGACACACAACACTACAGAGTCAGATCGAACACCTGCACGAGGTCCTGCGCTACGTGCACCTGGACCGGTGCGACGACCAGGCCGTCACGCGGTTCCGGCTGTCCGTCAAGCGACGACTGCACAAGAAGTACCAGGACTGGCTGGCCGGGTTCGAGGCCGGGGAAGCACGCAAGAACGAGCTGGACGACATCTACCGCGAGGAGATCGAGGGCGTCTACTCTTCTCTCGCTCGCCGGCTCCGCACCCACCTGCCCCCTCTCCCCCCCACTCACCCAAGTGATTTATAGGGTGGATGTGAAAATAAAATGTGTTTATTGAATAGAGGCCCATAGAGGCGCCACTCGCTGCCCATGTGGTGATGGCTGGTGGTGGCTGGTGGATGCACCTGTGGCCTGTTGAGGTGTGCGGGTGTCGGTGTTGTCAAGTGAGCGCGCACGTGGACGACCAGCAGCCGCTGGACGTCGACCATCCACCGGTGACGCCGCCACGCGATCTCATCTGCACCGCGCTAAAGCGAAGCCTCCAGCGGGGATGGCGTCGCGAAGGGAGCGACTTGTATGTCG